CGCTCTCCGCCGGCCCCACTTCACCGAACGACACATTGTTTCGCTCGGGTAACCACCATTCGACAAAGGAAACAAATAAAAGGAAGGAAGGAGTTCGGAAAGGGGTAAGATATTCGCTCATTTTCTCTGACTCCGATTCGACAGGCGCTCTATTCTTCGTTGTTGTTCGGTTTTGTTGCTTCGCACAAGGCAAAGAGATCGCACGAGATGCTCCTTCGGATCCTTGGTTGTTGTTCGACTTTGGCCCCAACGAAGCGATTCAACTTCGTTGCTTTAGGAGGAGCCTAGGGTTCGCTTCCATCTTCTCTTTTTCGTCGTTGTTGTCCGACGTTGCATCGCAGGCGGTGTAGAGATTGCATGCGTCACTTCTCCGACTCCCCGTGGCTGTCCAGCTTCGCCACTTCGCGGGTGTAGCAATAGCACGGTCGCTTCCTCTGCTCCGTCACTTCCTTTGGCTCCTTGCTGTTCGGCTTCATTGCTTTCCTAAAGGTGCAGAGATTGCACTGTCACTTCTTCTGCTCCCTCTCTCCCTTTATTATACATATTATTATATAATATATAACATGATAATATAATGTTATATATTATATTGTTATATTAAAAATAATATAATATTATATATATATATATATATATATATTATATATAAGAGAGAGAAGCAAGAAAGAGAAAAAAAAGACAAAACAAAATAAATATAATAAGGAGAAATTGATTTAAGCAAGAGTCAAAGACCCCGCGGCCGTCGCTTTACCCTTAGGTCCGTCCGGGATGTGGTTTGAAATGCGAAGACCTCGTGCCGTCGACTTTAAGTCCGGACGAGATGGTTTTAACAATTTGAAGACTCGCGCAGTCGATCTCTAGAATCCTGGTGCAGAATGATTTAAATCTCGTAGGCCCTACACGTTGACCTTAGGTCCGGGTAGGAAGAGAATTTTGAGCAAAAGCTGTCACAATTTCTCCCTCCGGTGGACGGTGAAATACGCCGGGTGGCTGCCGAAATTTGTCGAAAATTTTGACAGTAGTCATTAGTAAATTTTTTAAAAACAATGATCTATTAAAAATTTTAAAATTGGAGAGCAATCATAATTTTGATTTTTTTTTTTATTAATTGTTAAATATAATTAATCAAAATAATTAAAATTAAATTAAAATTAATTGATAAGTCAAGTTATATAAAAAATACAAGGATTTTATTTAAAATATAAAGTTAATTTTTTTAAAATTTGAGGAAAATTTTTTGTATTAAAAATTTATAGCGAGCATTTAATTGAACAATGTAGGAAAATAAAATAAAATGCCAATGAAAACAAAATGGAGAAAGGGAGGAAGAATGTTGTCCACTATTTGACATATGCAGGCTCTCAAATTCTTCAAAAATCATTTCCAAATAATAACTCTCAAATAAATTGTACAACCACTCCAAACAACTCAAAACCTTCAAACTCCTTTGCATGTTCTCCAAAGTCCCTCTTGTACGAGTTCTTGCAATTATATTTGGGCTCTATCTTCTGTAACTGCAAGCCTCGGATACTGCAACCACTGACTACGAACACCTATGATCAAGCAGATAAGAGTCAGCACAATTATAAATAGAAATCAATACTAAAAAATAATAAATATAACTACTAGTAAGACAAAAGTACTGGGAAGCAAGAAAAGCTAAAGTACTGAAAAACTAGTATAGCCACAGTGTAGTAAGAAATAAGTTATGAGCACACAACAATACAAATTAAAACACTAAAGAAAATCTCAATCCCGAAGTGTCAAAATCACAAACTCAAAATAACCCAACAAACAAATAATAAAATTCAAAACATTTGGGCAACCTCGTTCATAGGAACTTGGTTGTAAGACCCACTACCCGGCAACTTTCATAAGAAAGTCGTAAGCCCGACCTTAGGGGAAAGTTTTAGGTAGAAATTAATCTAACCCCTAAGCCCAATTAAAACCTCCAGCCACTTCTAATAGAAGTCGTAAGTCCGACATCTGAGGGAAGCGTTTAGGTAATAATACAAACCTAGACCCCTCATTTGGGCAGCCTCGTTCATAGGAACTTGGTTGTAAGACCCACTACCCGGCAACTTTCGTAGGAAAGTCGTAAGCCCGACCTTAGGGGAAAGTTTTAGGTAGAAATTGACCTAACCCCTAAACCCAATTAAAACCCCGGCCACTTCTAATAAAAGTCGTAAGTCCGACATTTGAGGGAAATGTTTAGGTCATAACACAAACCTAACCCCCTCACCGGGCATCCTAGTCTAAAAGGACTAGGTTGTAAGACCCACAACTCGGGCCGCTTAGCTTACAGGGCTAGGTCGTAAGACGATGGGTCCCCAAACTAAACAAACTATCTGGACAACTCCTAATTGGAGCCGTAAGACCCAAACTAAATAAATTATCGTGCAACTTTTAATTGAAGTCGTAAGCCCTAACGTTTTAGGAAAATTACTAAATAAATTGTAATGAACCTAAAACCCAAATAATGTAATTCAAACCTACGGGCATCCTAGCCTATAGGGTTAGGTTGTAAGGCCCACCTTCGGGCTACTTTCTACGAGAGCCATAAGTCCCAATTTAATTAAAAATCTTGGGCTACTTTCTATAAAAGACGTAAGTCCCCCAAATCAAATTTAAATCCCTGGGTAACTCCTAATTGGAGCCATAAGTCCCAAACTAAATAAATTAACGGACAACTTCTAAGGAAGTAGTAAGCCCCAACTCAAATTAAATTAAAACTAAAATCAACATCTAACCACTTCAGTCTACTCAGGATCTCTAAGAGGAGGCAACCCATGGCTGCTAATCAGATTCCCTGGATACTACGGTTAATGATTGTTATTATTGGTAGACTGAAATCTATGGTATACCCGGGATGACGGAACCATGAGATCTTGACCAGGTTTACCTCCATCTTCCCACCATTTGAGACTAAAAATATCTAAAATTTTATTCATCCTTAATCGAGAGTTCTCTCTTACTTGTTAAGAGGGGTAATTAACTATGAGTGCTTGCGCTCATAGGAAGTAAGAACCCCAGATCTATAAACCCTGACACTACCCTCAGGGGAAATCTGGTTAATTTCAATCTGACTTAAGGTTTGAAGTCCATCCCGACGCAAAACATATCAAATATACTTTTACAAATTTTCTTTTCTTGAAGGATGGTGAAATTATAAAAGAGAGAGAAATCACAACTTGTATGGTTTGTTTGATTTGGGCTTCGTTTGAGATAACTTTAGATCACTGCTTTTTCGTGCTTTTTAATTTTCTTTTTTTATTGAAACGCAGCTTTACAAAGCAATAAGAAAGTTGCCCTAAATAAAACCTTAATATTGTAGCATGTACTCATAATATGCAACTCAATATAGTCTGTTGGTTGGGAGCTTTAGATGCTAATCAAGAGATCGAGTGTCTTAATTACCTTAAATATCATTATTATTATTTGATGATATACATAAAAGAAATTTGGAGGATTGCATCATATTGCTCAGTTTTATTTATCTAATATATATCTTTATATTTACTTATAACACTACAATTTTCATCATTAATATGAATTCATTTAAAATAAAATACATATTTTGATATAATTTAGCTTGTTTAGTGCTATATAAGAAATTATTAAACTTTGCATATTAAATATATAAATATATGCAAATTATAGGTATATATGTAAATCCTCAAAAATAATTTATGAGAAGTGGAAGCAGCCAGCAAAATTCACAAGCTGAGGATAATTCAAATATGCCTGGTGTTTAAGAAATGCCTGACTTGATACTTTCAAATCAATCAAGTAAAAAAAGAAAAAAAACAGCACAATTTCTACTCTCCAACCTGTTGATGAGGATCACTTGCCCTCCTTCAAGTTGTGGATCCTAAAGATTAGTTGATAGGGGTATAAGCGAGTCATTGGTGGACCTGGTTGTAAGTGAGCTCTCGAGCTGAGGAGTTGAAGGACGAGTCGAGTTCGAGTTCATTTTCTCAGCTCGATTCAAGCTAATTTATTGACTAATGAGTCGAACTTAATAGTCTCACTACTCAACTCATTTACACTCCTACTAGTTGAGAACTTCAATGAGAAGGAGATGAGAGCAGATAGTAAAACTGTACTGTTATTTTAGCAGCGGAATACTCAAGTTACATAGTTAGTTAACAAGGTGATAAATCTTTTAAATTATTAAAAGTATGATACCTAATGGCCTTTCATTTTTGTATAATTATATTAAATGAACCATTTGATAAATAGTACGAATCAGCATGATCCAAAAGCATAAGAGAACGACTCCTTCAAGTGGCATGATGGGGAATTTTTATTAGCTCAGGTGTCCTGACGTAACTCTACGTTCGGACGCCAGTAAAATGATGCCACGTTCTCTTACTTTTTACCGTGTGGCCCGACGACCCGACCCGGGATTGCTATGTATTGACTAATTTATGCAGACCGGGGTATTTACTAGGTATTGCTCAATATTGCTCGGCAATAACGAAAAATACCATTCTGTCAAGACCAATACCGAGCAATACCAAGCAATACCATGATTTTGCCAGGTATTATTCTTGACAGAGCGGTATTTCTCGTTATTGTCAAGCAATACCTAACAATACTGAGCAATACCTACCACTGCCCAAACATAGCAATACTGGGTTCCGATCCGGGTCGGGTCATCGAGCCACGCGGTAAAGAGTAAGAGCATGTGACGACATGTTATTAGCCTCTGGATGTAGAACTACGTCCGGTGTCCGAACCTAATAATTGTTCCATGATGGGGCTATCATGTACATGATTGAAGAGAATAATGAATTTATGAGGCATATAAAGTAAAATATAATAATAATAATAATAGAATTAGAAATTCATTTAATAGGGTTAGTAATATTACCCATAGAGCCGAAACACTCATCCATCTAGTTCCATAAATTTGCTAATTCATCCTTGGCTACTTAAAAAGGAAGAAACAAATACATTAATTCAATGGCCGTTGGTCTCATCAAATCAGCTGCAGGAAAATTAAATCACAAGCAGATAGGAAGTAAAAACGTTCCAAATAATTGTAGAAAATAAAAATAATCAAACAAATGGTTCATTGAACCAGTCGGTTCATCAGTTGAACAAACAGTTCTAGCTAATTTGCTACGATTTAATGCAAAAATGGTTTTTATAATGAATCGGATCAGCCATTTGATTAGTTCAACGTTGAAACGGTTGAAACTAATCTATCTATTAAATAGCCGTTGGTCCTCAAATCAAATCAGCCACTGTAAAAATATAAAATAAATCATACGATATAAATCGAAGGAAAAGCATTCTAAATAAAAGTAATCACAACTTTTTTTAAAAAAAATGATAAATCATTAAAAATGAGTTGAGTGTCAAAAAATAGAGCTTTTATTTATGTTCGGACATCGGACAGTTCACCCGTCCGGTTAAGCGCTCGGTACCAGGCGCGATACATTTTGTGGTGATGTGGCACATTTTTATCGGTCTCCGAATGCCTTCCGAACTCCGCACAGAATAATAAATCCAAAAAATGATCCGATTTATCATCCCAACCTAAAAAATTTTAATTTTTGTACTAAAAAGCTGCTCTAAGAAACAGTAAAAGAGCCATCCTAAATAAAACCTTAGACTCCATATTACAATTAAGTTAATATAATCACTAGAGGCTACCTCTATGGCAGAAACTGATGATCAACCAATGTCTACTTGACCATGATTGTCAGATAATTTAAGCAAAAGAAGGGTCACAGTACATCTTAAACATAAGGATAAGTGCTACCAACACCAAAATTAGCAGCTAAACATTTATCAACTGAGTAGAAGAAGCTAACATGGAAATGTTGAATTCATAGTTACTAAGCTTTTAGTCCAAGCAAGAAGAAAAAGCAACCATTTATATTCTGCTTCCTTCACCGGTTACAGCTGCAAAAGAAAAGGGAAAAACCTTCATTCGTCTTTTCAAATTTATATGGATCTACTTTTGATTTATCTTTCGATTGTGTCAGAGAATATTGATATTAAGCATAAAAAAGGAAAGATTATGAGCTCTATGCTACCAGGAATTGTTTTTTTGGGAGAAAGTGAAGAAAGACTGAATTCAACATGACAGATTTATTAAAAGAAATGAGGAAAAGTTTTACCTGGAAGCAAGAATGTGTTAGGCGCTGAAGAATACAGGCAATTGCTCTTTCAATAAAAATATATCTATCAATATTGGGATAACTTTTTTATTGCTTTTCAAAATAACTTTCTAGCACAAAATTTTATTTTTTTTTAATTTGTATAAAAAAATTGTTTTTGAAAGAAATAAGAAAGCTCTCCTAAACAAAACCTTAGAATATGTGTTGGTGAATGTGAACCTAAATCTAAACAAAAACATAAATAATATTCCAATAAAACAACAGCAAAATAAAATATTCGATTAAACTAGGTAGATCTTACAAATGATCACATGAAACCAAAGCATATAAATAAATACATAAATAAATAAAATATTGTTCTTCGAGAGTACTGTATGTACGATAGTGAAAAGGTCGTCTGGCTTAAAAATAATATAAATAAACACATTTGCCATACTCTTTTTACAGATGATGTTTATTTTCTTAATAAGACTAAAGAGGGAATTGAAGGTAAACTTGAATTACAGAGATTAACCTTAAGAGTCTAAAAGTTTTCATTTGAGTAGATCTAAAACTAAATACATGGATTGCAATTTTAGTAGTAACAAATATAGTGGAGGGATTGTGACTTTGGATGATCAAGTTATTAATTCGAGTACACGTTTTAGATATCTCTAGTCTATTGTTTGACCTTATGGTCAAATAAATCAAGAATATTATTAGTTAAATTCAAGTTGGATGGTTGAAGTGCAGGAATGCATCGAGCCTGTTGTGTGATACAAAAGTATCCCTCTAACTTAAGGGAAAATTCTATAAGATGGTGGTGAGACTTGCAATGTTTTATGGCACAAAATGTTGGCCGTTAAAAGAGAAGCATAAAAATAAGTTAATTATTGCAAAGCTAAGGATGCTCAAGTGGATGAGTGGCTTCACTATTAGACACAAAATGTGAAATGAGTATACGTGAAAAAGTTTTAGTAGTTCCAATGGCAGATAAAATTAGAGAGTCGCCTTAGATGGTTCAGTAATATAAAATGTTGATCTTCTGATGACTCGATTATGAGAGTAGATATATTAGATCTGACCTATATTAAGAAAAGTAGAGGTAGACCTAAAAAGACTTGGTTAAAAAAATTAGAAATGATTTTTTTTTATTAGATTTAAATGAAAATTTGACTCTCAAATGTGGGCTTTGAAAATTCAGCCCTGGCCTCCACCTGCTGATGGTTTTCTTAGGCGAGGGAGTTTTAACAGATTAAGTTCAGGGGTAAATTTTGGAAGGCAGATGGGTTTGTAGATAAGACACTATCCAGAGATTTCGCCCTCATTTTGCGAGGACTTTATGATCTGAGTTCTGGTTTCCTATAGGCGCAAGCCCCCATAATTAATTACCCCTCCCGATTACGAGAGAGAACTTTCGATTAAGGCTAGTCATCAATCAGATACGTAGAGAATACGTGTTATCTGGCATATAATAGCAGCATGGGCATAAGTATTTGAAAAGTTTGGATGTTCGAAAATTTGGGTTGAAATATTTGAAAAGGGTTTGATATTAAAATAGAAATTTGACCATCTTGCACTTAAAGCGAATGGTGGGGGAATGAATGATGGACCTGATCAAGATCCCATGGTTCCGTCATCCCGGACCATCATGGTCCCTTCGTCCCGGACCATCATTGTCCCTGGTCTACTTAGTCAGAGGAGATAGTCGACCCAACCTGACAGAAGGATCCTTGTCAGTAGCCATGGGATGCTTTGTCCAAGGGTACCTTGTAGACCTGTGGTGAATGTTTATTTAAGGTGACAAATTTGGATCCACCTTAGCTGATAAAGGGCTTTGTGCCCTATCGATCATATCTTATTGATTCATATCTCAATGATTTGATGCCACTAAGGAACGTATTGGCTCTGGCCATAACCAGTATTTCATGGTGCCATTTGGCGACAAAACCACTTGGTTCAGAGGGCCCGGGGTCATAACCGTTTATCCTGCGGTGCCATTTGACAACAAAACTACCGGTCAGACGACACGTACCACATCCTTACTGGCAGGAGATTGTTTGATAATAGATCCTAGTGATATTTTCGACTAGATATTTAGCTCTTTGTGAGCTGAAGTAATTTTTAGATTTGTCTACCTCGGTAAACTGTTGCGAATGGTGGATGGATTTTGCTTTAAGTATTTGATGGTTTGAATTTCATTTTAAATATTTGGATTTAATATTTTTGCGGACTTTTGGATTTTTGTGGATATTTGGAGTGTCATTTTGGATTATTTGGAATGGATCCCTCCGGTTGAGATTTGCATTCAACGCAGCCCTCATCGGGGTGACTTTGAGGTCACTTGAGAATATTTGAATTTTGTGGAAGTTTGAGAGCATTTTAAAATATTTGAGATTAACCCCTCCAGTTAAGATTCATATTCAACACAACCATCATCAGGGTATTTGGGTTTATTTCCATTTAAAGCTTAAACATTGTCGAGCCTATCAACTTGCCGATATGGGATCGGGTTTCATAGGCTTCATGCCTTTGTTAGTGAATTTTCATTGTTATAGGCCTTGAAGGCCTAATATGAATGTATTAAAACAAGTATATCGGTTGCTGTAACCATATATTTGTTTGATGGTTCGAACCATGTCGACTTCTATTGATTCGCATAGAAGGATCATGTTCGAACTTGAATTCACTTATTGACCCATACAACATCCATAGACATCATGTGTGTATCCAAAACACGCTCCTCGAGGCCCATGCGGGTGTTTGGGGCATATTATAATTAAACCCTGTCGACTCTATCAGTTTGCCGACAGAGGGTCGGGTTTCATAGGCCGTGCCTTGGAGAATTCTTTTGATTATAGGCCTTGAAGGCCTAATATGATGTATTTAGACAAATATATCGGTCACCACCACCGTATATTTGTTTAATGGTTCGAACCCTATCTACTCTTATTGATCCGTATAGAATGATCGGGTTCGAACTTGAATTCACTTATTAACTCGCGCAGCATCTCTAGACGTCACGTGTATATTTATAGCACGCTCGCTGAGACCCATACGGATTGTGATTGTATTTACCCCTTTAGTGTATCTATGTGCATACATATTACGGTGCATGTGCGGGGGCAATTTCAGATATTTTAGTTGTGCAATTAACTATCATTTGAATGCACAACATTTCATTTAAGAACTTATATACGCCTTATGTTCGCTAATACAAGTGTTGCGGATCCGGTGGCATGTTGTAGCAGCTTTTGAACATAATTGTTTGCTACTTTGCTTAGGTAGATTGTCGTACACTACTTGTCTCTTTCTGTAGGTAGATTGTAATGCTCTAACGAATCTCCTACTTTTGTCAGTAGATGTTGCTATCTACTGTAGTTTCCTTGCATCATTTTTGTAGACGGCATATTAAGTGTATAATGGGTTTCCTACAGCAGCTCGTAGGAAATTGCATTTATCACATTCTTCATGTGTTTTGTTATGATCTTTGATCTTTTTAGTACATCCGCTACTACTGCGTGTAGGTAGGTAGATGTATTCATTCACGGATTGGAATTGACTACATGATACTGCATTTACTGAAGTCTTTTTGTATCTACCCACATATGGCATATGGTGCGTGCATTTGTATTCGTAGCGAACTTGTATGTATTGCAGATCTTTTATGAATGTGCTACTGCATTATTCATGAATGTATCATTGCATGCAGATTGATTTGTGTAAATGATCTGAGATGATTTTGTTTTAGCTCCTCTTACTTACATGCCTCTTGAGATATTATTCTTCGCTCATCACAACTCTCCACATCTATCACCGGATTGCATGATTAGATGAATACTGTGAATCAATTGTTATCATTTGTATGCTCTTCGTATTCTACTTGCGAGTATCTTATATTGCATATTGACTACTATGACTTGTAGAGACTCAGTGTGTTCGCTTGATGTTGAGTGATGGTTGACTGCAAAGATGTTATGATCTCCAACATTTGTTATTTGCTATCGCTTATGTGTAAGTTACTAAAAGTATCTCGGATCTTCAATTCCCATTCCTGAGCAACTTGGATTTTATTATGACTGGTTTCTTATAGCCATTTGTAAACGACACCCTGGATGTATGAATTACTGTATCTTCTTGCATGACTATTGTACGAACTGATGTCCAATTTCACTTTATAGTTTGCAAGATTCTATATACTTCATTCTTGTATGTTGAATTGTTGTTGATGATGAAGATGCTATTGCATTCATTTGTACCCATTTCATGCATGCGTTAGGATGGAGGGGGATCGTATTATGACTAGTCTATGATTTCATCCTCGCTCCTTGTTAACCACTACCTTCATACCTTGCTAATAAACATATCATGCAACAGCTCATTATTCATAGACATGCTGCATTCTTTACTTTTCATTTGATAATTTGCCTGATTTATTATGATTTGGCTTTCAAATATCCCACAAGACATCGATGCATTTGCTTGTGAGTGAGTAGCGTTTGTAAGCAAGTTATACTTGAAGTCTTTTATTCAAAATGCAATTCCTAACCTCATTCACTTGCTTTCGATTAGGAATTCACTATTTTGTAAAACATGATTGCATTTATCATTTTGAGATCCAATTCACCGTTTAGTAGCTTGTGACATGTTTCCTGTGGTTTGAATGAAGCTCACTTTCTATTTAGAATTCGGATTCAGATCAAATTCTTCTTGGTTGGATTTGCTTCAAGTCTTATGTCGTTTGTTTGAGTTCAAGTCCCAAATAATCCTGTTGAGATCAAGCCCAAGTTCAAAGTTCTATGTATTTGTTCTTTTGAACTTAAGTCCAAGTTCAAGTTAATGTCAACAAGTCCAAGTGTTCAACTAGCAAGCTCAAGTCCTTGCTCAAATTATTCAAGTCAAGTCCCTCTAACTTGGTTTAAACCAAGTTCTAAGTCTCAAGTAACCTTGTTCAATTCAATTTCATTCAACCTTGTAGTCAAAATCAAGTCCTTGCTTGAGTTCAAGTATCGAGCTCAAGTTCAATGTTCCCTGCGGTCCTTTGAGTTCAATCAAAATCAAGTCTTATATTTTTCAAATTCATTTGAGATTAAGTTCATTTAGGTCCATTAGATTCAAGTTCGAGCTCACAAGTCTGTTGTTCATTTTCATTTGAGTTCAAATTAGGTCCAAGTCAAGTCTTGCATTCACCTGAAATTTCGGCAGCCTCTCGACGTCTCCCCCATTTAGGGGAAACTACGAGAAATTGGGCCTTCCCACCACGCAAAATAAAGGCATGTATGATAGGTGTCCTCGGACAAGGACACCGCAGCCGTGATCTTTATTCCCACCACGTGCAATAAAGGCGTGTAAGGGGTCTTTGACGGTAGTTGTTTAAAAAGACAGTTTGCTTTCCCCTCGCTCGATGGTACTTATAAGTGACCCCACCTCGTCGTAGGCGTTGCACCGGGTTCCCATCTCACCACGTGCAAAAAAGACATGTATAAGCAGTTTTTCGGTGCGCCACGAACTCCGAAATGGGGCTTTTAGGTGATTACCCGCCTCATCGTAGGCGCCGCACCGGGGTCCCATCCCACCACGCGCAATAAAGGCGTGTATAGACGGTTATCCAGTGCGCCGCGAACTTCGAGGGCGAGAATCTGAGTTTGGGGAGTTATACCTACGAATGACGACAACGATGGTGTTTGTGCACTTATCGAGACAAGGAAATCTTTTTTTTTAAATTATAATTAATTATAATTAATACTAATTAATCACAATTAAAAAGTTAATTTAAAATTAACTTAATTAATTATCATCAATAATAATTAATTAAAATTTAAAAATTAATTTTAATCAGCTGTGGCTTGGAGTCGAGAGCAGCGTGAGAGCAGCAAATGCTTCGCTTGGTTGGGCATTTAATGATGAAAGTGGCTACGGATCGTAGGATTTGAGCAGTATTCCTGCAAGTCACTCGAACGACGCCGTGCTACAGTGATTCAGCGATATTTCAATGGATTTTCTGGATTTTGGCGGAGATCGCAGGGGGATTTCGGGGACTCAATGGGTATGAGGTATGATTTCATTTTTATGTTATTTGGGTATTATAATGAGGTTAACAAATGGGAAAGTCGCCAAAGGGTAAGTCGCCAAAGAGGCGAAGTCGAGCAACAACAAAGAGTCCGAAGGAGCATGCAAAAAAAGTGGAGTTCGGGTTTTGATCGGAGGAGGGAGGAAGAGGTTCGATCGGAGCTTATGAAGGAGGTAGGGATTTCTATTCCTCTCTCTCTCTCTCTCTCTCTCTGAGGATCGGGAGGCAGTGACGAGAGCTAGGGCAGGGACCTCGGGAAGAAAGAGTGGAGGAAGATGTGGAGTTCAGCTGTGGCTTGGAGTCGAGAGCAGTGTGAGAGCAGCAAATGCTTCGCTTGGTTGGGCATTTAATGATGAGAGTGGCTACGGATCGTAAGATTTGAGCAGTATTCCTGCAAGTCACTCGAACGACGCCGTGCTACAGTGATTCAGCGATATTTCAATGGATTTTCTGGATTTTGGCGGAGATCACAGGGGGATTTCAGGGACTCGATGGGTATGAGGTATGATTTCATTTTTATGTTATTTGGGTATTATAATGAGGTTAACAAATGCCCCCCCCAAACAAATGTGGTTCGCGTCTATAGCGAACCACGTTTGTTGTATGCCAATTGACTCTGTGGATTACTAGATATTTGTTCTAGATATCACACAAGGGTTTCATTTAATGGATCTCCAAGAGTTCATTTGGATGTCACACTAAGATTTTCATTTAGTGGATCTCCAAAAGTTTGTTTGGATGTCACAATAAGATTTTCTTTCTTCACTGCTCTCTTAGATGTATCCATAGATGACTGATGTATTGGCTTTGTAGATTGATGCTAGTGGATAACATCGCCACCATTTGTTCTCTTTAATCACCATGATCACTTTAGTTTATAGCATTTCTGTATATGCTCAACATTCTTCTATTATCTAGTTGTATCTTGCCAAAATTTTAAATATTTATTTGAGGATCTCGACATGCGGCACGCTGTCGACCCAAATAAATATTTAAAATGCCCCCCAGTCTTTAGGGACATTTGTAGAAGTCATCTAGGGTACTCTTTCTGCGGCTTTGGCCTGAGTCATGAGATTTTGATCCTTCTCCTAGTGCTTTGGAATGGCGAACTTGGTGAAGAGTTATCTGATTTGTCTTTAGTGACTTGTCAGAAGATTTGTACGTCTTCTGCCATTTGCTTCTAGTTTTGGCGGGCGTGATGAAGTGGTAGATGCCGATGACCTAAACCCTTTAGGTTTATACTAGGTCGATGGCAAAAAGTCATCGGTCCAAAGCTTTGTGCATAATGGACTTGTTGATGATAGAATCCTCTTAGTTCAGCCATAGGCTTTTCGTGAACTTTAGAATAATTTTCTTTGGTCCCAGCTCTTTTAACTCTTAGTTAAATTATTATACACATCTTTTTTCTCCTTCACTAACACCAAGCCTATTATATAAATAATAAAAAATTTAGCTTTTGCTTTACTCATTATCCTTTTTGTAAGACTTCCATCATTCTTATAATCATTATAATCCTTAAAACCATTCAATTTTTCCACTTTTTTCAAAGTGAATTTCTTTTCTTAATCACCCCTTATACTTCCTCATTTGACCAACACCTCTCCTTATCAGCATATAGTCTATTTCTAGACCTTCATTAATCTTCTACAGTAATCCTCATAATGAAGCGACTTTGATATTGACTTCTTGAAAAGAGTTTCAAATATGTAAGTAAATCTTCCAAAAAGAAATTTATTTGTGTTGGTAACTCCATTTTTATAAATAACAATGTGTATTTGTTTCTTAAGTATATGTTCATTTTTGCAAGGTCATAGACTGCTATGAAACCAAAGATAGGTTTTCTAATTAAAATTTTATCTACTATTTCATAATCACTATGAATCTGCTCATAACTTATCCTACTAGAACTTATATGTCATTTAAATCACCTCCAACTATCCTTTCTTCAGAAGTATATTTTGTAGTAGTTCATTCAACCCTCTCCATAAACGATTTTTAAAATTTCCTTAGCCATCTCGAAGAGCATAAGTACTGCTCACATCATAATTTCGTCATCAATAATTATCTTAATAGCAATTATCATATCACTAGCCCTTTAACTTCAACAATTTATCTTTAAAATCTTTATCCACAACTAGCCTATTTTCAATCCTATAAATATATTTTTATATAAACAACTTAAAACATTCTCCAATATCCTTAGATTTTTCTCCTTTTCACTTAGTTTTGTTTTATTTGGTAAGAAAATAATATTAACTGTTCTTTTTATCCCAATTTCCACCAATTACCTTGTCTTATAATTCAAAGTTTCAAATTTCATGTAGCAAATCTAATCTTAGATTTAGGCCTAGTTAATAATTGCTTATTTCTCATCACAATCAGCTTAACTTGTGATGCATCACCTTTACATGGATGCACTCCTACATACATCAAAAAAAAAAAACATTTTAATCTAATCTCAAGCTGGCTCAATTCCATCGAAGTTTGACTAATTCAACTTCATGCTCGACTTATTAGTTGGTTTGTTAACTTTAACCAGTTAGATTCAAAAAAAAAAATCATTCCAGTTTTTTGGCAATCCTTGATATTCGAATTGAATTCAGAGCCCAATAACACATAATCAAGCCAAGCATTGAACCAATAAAAATAGACAGCCACACCCTAACTTACTGATTTGGGAGGAAAATGACAATCAATCTTAAGGATTAACACCAACAAAATCTCAAAAAAAAGATGTTCCCTTCCGATGCATTGATTTTGAAGTCAAAATTTTCACATGTAAATGAATTTAATGACTAGAGAAATGTAATATTTTAGTACCTGTACAAGCTGCAAAGGCTCCCCTACTTACATTCACCAACAGCTGAAACCCTAATCTGTTTGTCAAGCAGTTGCTTATGTGTGAATGAGAGAGGAAATTCAGTTGAAACATTTCTATCGTCTAGCTGCTCCGTCTCAATGACCTGACCAAATAACTGAATTGATCCTTTTCGTGACTTCATAGTTGTCTTGCACGCACTAGCAATCTCCACTCCATTGTGATGGATTACTTCTTTAACGACTTGGGTTATACCGTCAGATCTTGATACATTTGGATAATATGCATTGTCAAAGCCATGGATATTATCAGAGAGCACCTGATTAGTGCTCCTGGGCACCAAAGAAGACGATAGACTAGAGAAAATATGCCTGGCTCCCTGTTTGCCAGAGGGAGATTCACTGATATTGTATGGTGCTGGGATTAAGCTCTGCATCCCTGTGCCACCAAATCCTGTTATTGAAAAGGTCATGTTTCCATGTCCTTCAACTAATACCTTAAGGCCTTCAGTAAGCTTGAGCTTTTTCATGACGTGAAATGGTAGGACAGATGATATCAACTCCACTTGCCAAGGGTTTACAGCTCTCAATCCCTGCAGAACATCTTGTTCATCCCATTTAATCTAATTGACAGAAGAAGAATTACAAGATCAGATAACTAACAAATTTTAGTAATAAGGGTAAAGAAGGGAAGAATGTTCAAAATGAATCTAAAATGGAGGGAAAAAGAAATGTACTTCAGCTATTAATAAAATCCCATGTTGTAGGGTCAGAGAAATATATATAAGTGGTTAAAACCGTGTCAAGAAATATTAACCATAAAAATGTAATCTAAATCATTAGTTCCCAAGAAAATATCATAAAATTATTTATTTCAAATTAGTTAGTTCTTTAGACAAGATTTAACAATATAAGAAATGTAATCTCATTTTCACTTGTAGTATCTACAATACCTTTCATATTTAACTTTGGAGTTAGCATTTAACTTTGGAGTTAGCTTTAACTCTTATTTTAGGCTTTGAGGCTAAATTGGCTCAAGTTGAGGGACTAAATTGGAGCAATGCAAAACTCTGAGACTAAATTGGACATTTATCAATAGTCGGGGGACTATTTTGAGCTTTTACTCTTTCCAATAATTAAATGCTTTCCCACGTCTTGTTTCTTTGCCTCCTACTAAGTATGACACATTGGGTTCTTTTTCATCTCCTCCACAACTAGCTCCTTAATTTATTTCCCATATCATGGTTGTTGCTTCACCACCATCGATTAATATGGTCGCCATTTCCCCTATGGTTCCTCCTGTGATGCGATCACCGACGCTTATTAATTCTCTTGTTGCTAGTGTCCCTCGATCTTTCATTGATGTTGTTGGGGAGTTGATGCCTTTAGAATCTCAACAAGGCTTCTCCTACCAAAATTTCACCTATTTTTCATCAAGGTTCAATCCCTCTCACCACATGTAATCCTTTCAATTTCTAGATAAACTGCTTCTTATCGTCACTGATTTGGAGGTACCCCAAGTAGGCACCACATTCTCCTTATTTGTGGTGGGCAAGTTTAAGATTGGAGCATTCCTTGTTTTGAGTTTATTCACTCTTTCATGTCAAACTGGCATCTAGCTTGGGATACTCAATTGGGCTCCTTGATCTAGACCATATTATTATCAGCTTATTGGTTGAAGCCATGGTTTAAAATTGCGCAATATGAGGCTCGCCTTGAGGCCCGCCTTTGCGCAATTCCAGTAAAAAACGCCTCGATGCTTACGCCTCGAATTTTTTTATGAGGCTTGCGCCTCAACTTGGTTAAGGCCCGCCTCGCCTCACTGGCATGAGGCTTACGCCTCACGCTATATATATTAAAACTTACATAAATCTTGAAGTAAATGCCCGACATTGGACTCTATAGGAGAGGAGGAAGGGGAGAAAGTAGTTAGTCATAATGATGATTCAAATGAAGAACCCCTTAGTGATGACAATGCTGATGACTTATGAGTTCTTATGTGATATGTCATTGCTATTTATTTTTGGAAATTGGAATTATATGTTAATGAAAAGAATACTAGGATTTGGGAAAGATAGAATTTTGAGTTGACTATATTTCATGTTGTCTTATTATTGGGATATTTTGATTTCACTTCATATCTTATGCTTTTTTATGTTTTATATTATTCACTCATTAGTATATAAAATTTTTATCATTTAATGTTTACGCAATCTTTTGATTTTGAGGCTTACGCCTCAAAACGCCTTGAGGCTTACGCCTCGCCTCACAAATGAAAAACGCCTCAATACCCAAATACGCAATTTTAAACATTGGTTGAAGCTGATTACTTTAGATTTATTTTTGATACAAAGTGGATGCAATTTCAACAAAAAAAAGTACAACACAAGAAATCAATGTATATGTACTCATACATATCTACAATTTGATAGGAAGTAGATGCAATTTCTATCAAATCAGCGAACCGCAAGAAGAATTTGGGAAGAAGAACACACCACAAATCCTTTTATTGCAAAAAATACGAAAGAAAATAGCAAGATACAACTGGATCTTCAATTGGAGAGAAGATCCGGTTCTCTCAAATTCCTAGCCGTCGGCTCGAGCCCTCACAACCTAAGAACTTCTAATTTCAGCAAACAAAAACATAATTTAAAATCACCACATGTTAGCCTTAAATAGACTCCATTAATTGACTCCCAAATTAACCACAGTTACTCTCTTAGATTTGAATTCAAATTAGATATCTTTCCTTAATTAATTCCCTCTCAATTGTAATTAAAATTTCCTAAGCAATTTTCCTTTGATTCCTCCTTACATAATGAATATTAAGTCCCCTGAGCTTCCCTAAATAATTCCCTCTCAAATTTGAATTCAAATTATACTTTTTCACTAATTAATTCCCTCCTAATTGTAATTAAAACTTTCATAAGCAAATTCTCCTCTCTTTTCTTACCCGCCGCCCACCCTAGTGAGGCCCATTGGCTTACTCGCAAGTCCATCAATACTCTCCTCCAAAGAGCCACCTTGTCCTCAAGTTGGGATGAAGGCAACTGTAGTTGAACTGTTGAAGCACTATATTAATAGCTGTGGACTAGAAAATATACTAACACTGGATCGAATGATCCCTTCCTTGAGCATCTCCCTGATCAATATCTTAATATCTTCGTTTTGGATTTGGCGATGACATCACAGACGAACATTGATAGGAGATACTCCTTCCTTCAAGATGATTCTCGCGGAGGAGGCAACCCTTGAACTGGCTAGAACAACCCTTGATACTACTATAAGGGTGGCTTATCCATGCTTGGTGCTTCTATCTTCACCCCATTTTTTTTCCTTCCAAACTCTACAGCTCCACAAAAAATTTCACTTCTTCATTCCCCTCCTTGGAAGGGGCTCCAAAGGTGGCATCTCCTCTTCTTCCCCCAACATTTCCACCTCCAGATCTTCCCCTCTCTTTATCGGATAAGGGTTTCCTCCACTTCGTTGGCCGGCAGTGGCTCCCCCCGCCTCTCAAGACAGTTTTGGTTCGGACCTCGAGCATCTTCCTCATCATCTTCTTCATAATGGCAAACTAGCTGACTGTTACAGTGTTATTGTATTGTTGTTGTCGTGATTCAGGAAGTTATGCTTATGTAGAAGTTCTATCATAGTCTTCTTTAAGTTGAAAGTTATGTGTATTGTGCAGTTCTATCATTCTGTGGCAGATTGATAGTTTTGTACTATGCTTTTGTAGTTCTATACTTTTGTAGTTCTGTCGTCTGTGATATGCTTCTCATCTTTTGCAGTTATGTAGTTCGGTAGTTCTTCAATCATTCAATGCATGGTTCAGTGCTTCAGTGCAATTTGGTGTTATTGAGTTCCTTGGTTCACGGATTCAGTGCATAATACTATTGTTGGTAGAGTTTTGGTTAAATGCTACATAATCTTTGGTTGTTCAATTGTATATTACTGTTTGTAACTAATAAATAATAACTATGTTTAATTTCATTTGTTAGATAGAGGAATCCAATACTATTGTTGATAGTACTCTTATTCTTGAAAATGTATTTGTTAATGAAGGAGATGAAGTCAAAATAGATACTAATTTTATTGATGATGAGGATATTTGTGACGATGATGTTAAAGAAAATGTTCTTAAGAAAACAAAAAGGATAACTTCCACATGTATGGGGTCATTATGAGATGTTACCTTACTTGTTGATCGTAAACAAAGATGTAAATGCAAAAAAAGTGATGCAACTTACCAATGTGATAGTAAGAATGGGACTAGCAACATAAAACATCATTTACAAGTTTGCAAGAAAAGAGGTACCCATGATATATGCTAGTAAATTTTGCAGTCAAGTTCTAACTCACATATTTCCTTAACCAACACTAAGTTTGACTACCAAGAGTTTCATGATTTATTCACTATTGCCATTATCATGCATGATCTACCATTTCAGTGTGTTGAATGAGTCGGTGTATGTGCATTTCTTCATTATCTCTGCCCAGACCTACATGTACCATCTAGAAATACATCTCGAAGTGATTGTAAGAAGATGTACTTTATAGAGAAAGCCAACATTCAATCAACATTGATTAGATGTACTAGCAAAGTTTGTTTGACTTCAAATCTTTGGATTTCTATCAACACTAATAGTTGTATTTGTTTGATTGTACTTTTCATTGACAATACTTGGCGACTACAGAAAAAGATTATTAATTTTAGTTTCATATCTCCCGCACATGATGAGATTGCATTGTTTGAGATGCTTCAATCTTTCCTTAACGAATGGAACATTGAGAACAAACTTTTTTGCTTAACTTTGGATTATGCTTCCGTTAATACTATTTCAGTGGATTGTTTACATAATCGTTTGAACTTGAGGGGTGGCTTGTTATACAATGGTGATTTTTTATATATTTGATGTTGTGCTCTTATAGTAAACTTTATTGTGGAAGAAGGGATGAAAGAGAGAGATGTTTCTATCTCTAAGATTATGGAGAGTATCAAGTATGTGAAAAACTCCAAAGCTAGAAAACAGAAATTCTTGAATTGTGCAAGAGATAGTTGTCTTGATTCCAAGATGGGTTTCTGCCTTGCCAAGTTGTTGAATTGTCTTTGCTGCTTTCTTCCTTTTAGCTTTTTGAATGCAGGATGCAAAATTCGGCTTGTTGCATTCTCATTATGGTTGTCTTTGTAGTTTCTGAAAGCATTGAAAGTTGAGTTGCAATGATGAGTAATTTTCTAAACTGAGTGTGAAGTCATTTGGGGAAAAAAATGTATTGCAACCATGTGACATTTGTGTTATCTTTTAATTAAACAGATATAAAGTGTAATACAATATGTCATCTTGAATGGTGATACGCAAAAACAATAATATTCATTGTTGACTCACATTTCAATATTTCATTACTTAATGAATATTGTTGCAAATTTATTTTCATGACTTATATTTTGATGATTGACAAACACTATTGATTCTCTTGGACTGACTGTTACTTCCAACTTTTCAGGAATCGAAGATCGGACGAACAAACGAAGCCAGTTCAAGATTGCGTAGGTTTAGGGTTGAGTCAGTCTGTACTTTATTTTTTCTCTTATTGAGTCTATTGTAATGATCAAAGAGACTGATGC